ATAATGAGGAGAGCGATCAAAGATCCCCCAACCCAAAATGCACTTTGGTCCTAGGATTGCCCTATATATATAAGCTTTTTAATTTGAGGAGGCTTCCATGTGTGAAGGTTCCCTGTCCTCTGCTGCTGTGGACACAGAGACATTTGCGACAGAATGTCAGCATGGCGGTTGTCTCCACAATTCCCTTGCCTGAACTCCCAGGCCACCAGAGGGCTTTGTGTTTTAAAAAGCAGTAATTGACATACCTTGATAGCAGGGGTCGTTTCGCAGAAAAAGAAGTGCAGGAGCTCATTAGCATAACTCATTAGCATAACTTATTTGCATATGCCACACCCCCTGACATCACCGGAAGTGTGTCAGAAGGCAACACCCACCGCTCAGGCTCCACTGGACTGTTTTGGATTGCTAGCTATTGGGGGTGGGGAGACGTGCAGATCTGTCCTCGCAGAGGAGGGAGAGCTCGTACCTGAATAAAACTTGGTCTTAAAGGTGCCACTGGACTGTTTTGGACAAGGGAGCCGGGGTGGGGGGCTCTGCAACTTACCTGGCTGCTTCTTGCTCTGACTGAGGGCTGCTGGGAGCAGGGGGTGGGGCTTGTTGCATGTGCCCGCCCCCTGGGCTCTTTACTGCCAGAGCTGCGCTCCTGCAGGAAATGACCCCTGCTTAAGAAGTGTATTTTAACACTATAGTGATGTGTCAATTACCATTTTTTTACCCTGTCAACGCCCTCTGGTGATGCCAGGAGGGGACAGCAGCCACAGGGCACTAGTGGCACTGATGTGAGCAGGCCCTGAAAAAATTCCCACATCGGTGCAAACACGCTTTGGCAGCACTGAAAGGTACTCCCCAAAGAGGTTTAGGAAAGATTGCAGCGAGGCAAGTGGGGGGAAGCTGGAAGAAGAGGTGGAGGAGGAGGAGATTGGATTTTTATCCTGTCATTCACTACCCGAAGGAGTCTCAGAGCGGCTCACAATCTCCTTTCCCTTCCCCTCCCCACAACAGACACCCTGTGAGGTGGGTGGGGCTGAGAGAGCTCTCTCGAGGACGGCTCCTGAGAGAACAGCTCTGGAAGGACTTGTGACTGACCCAAGGTCACACCAGCAGCTGCATGTGGAGGAATGGGGAATCAGACCCGGTTCTCCCAAATTACAGTCTGCGCTCCTGACAACTACACCAAACTGCATGAATGCATGATGATGTCATGTGGATGCCTGGAAAAAGACCACTCCAAACATGAGTCACGGGTGAGAAAACCAGCTGTGTGGAGGCAGCCAGGGCTTCCCGGTGTATCAAAGGAGTCAAGATGTGTTGCTCTGAAGAAAAGCATTGCAAGATCTACGCAGGGTCTATGAGGTTCCAGTTTTAGTAGTCATTATCCCCAAGAAGTCATTCGGAGGATCTGAACCTGCAGTGTAGTCATGACTCCACAGGCAGTGTTTGTCAGCAGCCTTTCACCAAGGCAACAGCAACACAAGGTTTTGGAGCCGATTGCCTGCAGATTGGCATGAGGAAAAGAGGCTCAGCAGTGCAGCTTTGGGGTGGCAAAAGCAAAGAGGGCTATCTGGCAGGGTGTTTGGTGTAGTGGTTAAGTGCGTGGACTCTAATCTGGGAGAACCGGGTTTGATGCCCCACTCCTCCACTTGCAGCTGCTGGATGACCTTGGGCACGCCATAGTTCTGGCACAGCTGTTCTTGAAAAAGAGCAGTTTCTGTTGGAACTCTCTCAGCCCCCACCTACCTCACAGGGTGTCTGTTGTGGGGAGGAGGAGGGAAAGGAGTTTGTAAGCCGCTCTGAGACTCCCTTGGGTAGTGAAGGGCAGGGAATAAATCCAGTCTCTTCTCTTCTTCTTCTTCTCTCTGTGATTTGCGCCCATGGGGAATTTCTCACAGCTGTGCAGTCTCTCTGGTTCGGTTTATGCTTCTCTCCCTCTCCCAGCACTTGGCCGGACTTCCCTAGACGAAAGCGACAGCCGGCAATAGTTGCCACAGGAACCGCTTCCCCGAGGCATTGGCAATTTCCCCGGTAGATTGCCGGTTTCAAGACCTGTTTGCACAGCTCTGTGTTTTGACTTGGACGCTGTAGCTGGACCAGCGGGGTGTGTTTGTTTGCTTTGCAAAGATAAGTGTATGTATTTAGAGGCATGTAATTTCGGTGTGGTGTGCTAAGGTGTGTGCATGGGAGATTGGGGGGGGGGAATCGCTGCTGTTCTCTCCATAGCACTTGAACTGCCACAGCTTTGAGGAAGTCAGCACCCATCAGAGGAGAAAACAGTGAGATTTCAATCATCCCTTCATCTAAAGCAAAAACTGCATCCCAATTTTTACAGCTACACCATGAGTGGCCATGCTTATGGGTCATCCATGTTCCTAGTGAGGCAGTGTGTATTTTCCCCCCCCTCCACTTATTTAGAAGGGGAAAAAATAGAAATAACCTCACGGGAATATTTTTAAGGAGGAGGAGACGGTGCACAAGGTTCGGAAAGAGACCGGAACTGGAAATTACAAGAGCCCAACGATTTGAGATATCCCCCCCCCCCAGCCCTGAAAGAAGACATTGGAGCAATTTAGGAATCTAAATTTGCACTCTTACAAAATCTCCATTTTAGTGGCCTTACCAGACCCCTGGAGGCTTCAGTCTAACTAAGCCTTGTGTTTTGTTTCCAGGCTGAAGAGTTCCTCAGCTCAGATCTCCTCAAGATGTCAGCAGGTAAGTGACATCGCCTTACCCGTCTCCGCGCATTATGTGGGAGAACCATAATTTGGCCTACGAAAACAGCCACAAGAACTCTTCCCCCTTTACGCTGTTTATGCCCTGATTGTGACTGATTGCAGGTTGTATTTGTATGTTTTCTAATGGGAAACAGTGCACTGAGGGGCGGGGGGGGGGGAGATTAAATCCTTCCCCAGCACTGTGGTTCCAAACTATAATGCCTCCTTTGTACAGCTGCTGTGGAGTGTTAAAAAACATTAGGGGAATCTAATCACAGATTGCCCAGAGAATATGTAATTTATTAAGCTACAGCTAGGGGTTTTTCACATGGTTGAGTCATCACACGCAAACATAAATAAAATGAAATATCAAACAGTGCGTGCAAGTAAAACATGTTAAGTCCTATAACAGATTACATCTATTCACTTTTCACTAGCAGCTTTCTAGTCCTTACAGCTAACCAACCAAATCTGGCAAGTTTAGCTGTAACCTCAGGGCGCCTAGTTTCTAGGAGGTTCTTCAGTAATTGCATCTTTTGACTAGTTGAGGATAGAGTAGTTGTAGAGAGTGGGAGAATATCACGAAAGTGGCTATATGCCCTGCAGTCATATATAACATGCATTAAAGTTTCAATTCCGTCACTGCAACAGGGACATATACGATCAGCAAGGTTTTTTTTTTTTTTTAATTAAACCTCCCCTCTGTAACTGCTGACTGTTGAGTCATCACAAATTGATTTGGTCAGAAAAGTCACCCGAGTGGAATTATATTATCTTCTGAACGGTTTACCACGTGAGCTCAGTGGCAGAGCACATATTTTGCGCGCATAAGGCCACAGATCCTATTCCACCAGTGTTTCATCCTTCAGTGCTGACGACAACGATTAACGTTTGCTGGACTTTTCTGCCAACTGAGAAGAGCCCAAACGGTACTGTTTGTGCCTCACTTCACTTATGGGCAAAAACGTTAACCGGCAAACTCCTTCCATCTTTCAAAAAACAGAACACACAAACAAATCCAGAGGACTGCAGTGTTAGTCTGCTGTCACAAAAATAAACAAGAGTCTTGTGACACCTTAAAGACTAGCATTTTATTCCAGCAGATGCTTTTGTGGACTAGCACCCACTTCTTCAGATGTAACAAGTCGCTCTACTGTCATTTAGGTAGGAGGTGTGCGACAATTATCGCAGTCCATGAAATGTAAGAAGTACAGTGAGTGATTATATAACGTGGTTTTAATTGAGTATACCGTCTGTGTAATTTATTCAACTAAATGAATGAATATGCAGTTATGGTACGTTTCTTTCCTATTAGTATTCCTAGTAATATTTGCAGTAATGGTACACTTCTTTTCCATGCGTATTCCTGTCAATACTGAATGAGGAATAGCTCAAAAGCCTAATGAACATTGAAACCAAAACCAAATGGTCCAGCTATGGGCTGCTGTTAGTTCCAGTAGGGGGGGGAAAGACAGGTACAGTATTTTTTCCTTACTAGAGCTAACGGCAACCAAGACAGGCCATTGCTGATCAGGGAAATGGTCAGCCTTTGTTTCCTCAGCACTGCGTCCAAGTTGATATCAGGGTGCCTCACTAGCAACCTTTTGAGGCCGAAGGGCATGCCAGTATTTCTAGCTATGGAACCCCCGGCATCATTAGGGCTCCTGTTGGCAGCTCCCCCGTGTTGGTGCAGATGCTGTGGCATCACTTCTGGGGCCTATCCAGAAGTGATCTTACTGTGTCAGTGCAGCACTCTAGGATTCACCCAAAACTCTATGGTGAAACTAGAGTTTGGGGTGAATCTTAGAGCATCGCGTTGGCATGATGACGTCACTTCTGGCTTCACCCCAGAAGTGACGCTGCAGCAATGTTGTGACGTTTGCCTCCTGCTTCCCCAACTACCCTAGTCTTCTGCTGGGTGCCAGTCGCTGGCTGGCAACCCCAGGCATCATACAACTCTGGTTGACAGGAGCTCTCGAAGGTCTTGGGTCTTTCCACCTCCGCTGTCTGAGATCTTTTGATCTGGCATCTTCTGCATGCTTTACCGCTGAGCTCCAGACACCATTTCTTACAGCCAAGTCCTTGGGACACCTTTCTGTATTTCATTTGCATACCACGGCATTGAAACAGGAACACGCAGAGCTCTCGTGCAGACACACTGACAGTTTCCCAGGGCACACCGTTTCCCCAAGTAGCCAGCGTCTGGCTCAGTGGTGTAACTCCAGAAAGCTGTAATCAGGAGATATTTCAGTGCTGAACCTCTAGGCTGCAGACGCCCAACTTTATTTTTAGCTCCTGTGCTTCACTGTCATTAGGTTTCCATCTGTCCAGGTTTGCAAAAGTTCCCATGGATCTTCATGCAAGGCCCACTAGAACACGGCATGCCTTTTGCTATAGGTAGATCTAAAACAGTTATACAAGCTTTGCTTTGATTCAGCTTCATTGTAAGCCAGTCTGTGCCGAAGCTGACCGAGACAGTGGGGGAGTCACACAGTCGGCCCCGCCCAGGCTGATATGGTTGGATGTCAGCCCCAACCATGCTCTTTTCCTTGTAGCACTGCTGAATCACAGTGGTTCTGATAATGGGGTGGTGAATGCAAATGCAGTTCCGTGTATGGTCAGAGACACGTCTGTTGCCACTTCACACAGGCTATGGTTGAGCTCTGGGATGCAAGAGAAGTTCCTAGGTTGAGGCAGAGGTCATTTCGGGGGGGGATCGCGGGGGATCGCAGTTCCCCCGGGTGAGGTACGGGGACGGGGCACATGACGAAGCCCCGCCCCCTGCTTCCGGCCGCCCCGCTTCCGGCCCTCATTCAGCCAGGAGGAGGCAGGAGAAGAGGGAGGGTAAGTTGCTTCCTCCCTGCCTCTCCCCACCCCTGCCTGCCTGGGGCCAGGGAGGGCCTTTGCGGGGCTTCCTTGCACTCCCTAACCCTAACCCTAACCCTCATGGGGCTCGGCAGTGGAGCTGCAAGGCCGGCGGCGGCGGCCGGTACCGTTGGAGGCGGGGTGTGTGGCCTTATGACACACTTCCGGTGATGTCAGGGGGTGTGGCATATGCTAATGAGTTATGCTAATGAGTTTCCCTAGCTCTTTTTGTACAAAACGACCCCTGGGTTGAGGCTTCAAAATGAAGACCTGGATTTCAGTGAAAGGGCTTGGGGTGATGACATGAAAGGGTGCCGAGCAGGCCTGTAGGCAGGATTTTTTAAGTGGGGGGGGGCATTTAAATTTCTTAGGGGGTACTGGCTAATCGAATTAAAGGAATGCCCGGCTCCTTCCCCCCACCTGGCAGCACTCAGGGGCCCTGGGCTGAATGGGAAGTCAGGGGGCCTTGCCAGTAAGTCAGGGGGGCCTAGCCCCAAGATGCCCCCACTGTAGCTACGGGCCGGGTGCCGAATAACCATGCCTTGCTTACACATTTGGAATTGGGTGGTAGGTGCTCAAGTGGTTAAGACGCTGAACTGCAGGCTGTGGAAGGTCAGTTGTTCAGCAGTTCAAGACCCGAGTGTGCCGCATGACGGAGTGAGCTCCCGTCTCTAGTTCCAGCTCCTGCCAACCTAGCAGTTCGAAAGCAAGAAATTGCAAGTAGATAAATAGGTACCACTTCGGTGGGAAGGGAACAGCGTTCTGTGCGTCTTGGTGTTTAGTCATGCCGGCCACATGACCACGGAAATGTCTTCGGACAGCGCTGGCTCTTCGGCTTTGAAACAGAGATGAACACCGCAACTCTAGAGTCGGATTCGACTGGCTTTCGAGCAAGGGAACCTTTACCTTTACTTTACTAGGTCCCACGAAGTCTGAAGCCCTAGTTCATTTCTCTTTTTTTGGGGGGGGGGATAGCCAAAGCGCCGAGCATAGTTTGTGACCAATTCTGCTCCTCCCCACCATGCCACAGTAGTCCAAGTGCTCTTTTTGAAAATTCTGGTGCCTCTTGCAGAATGTCTCCGGTTACTGCAAAAAAAAATTTTTCATTTACAAAGCAAGCTGGCTGCTCTGTGTAAACGTTGTGTAAACTGCTTTGGGGGAATAAAGGTGGGATACAAATGAAGTAAATAAAATAATTTTAGCGGAAGGTACAGAAAGGTTCGTGCGCCTTGGTGTTTAGTCATGCCGGCCACATGACCACGGAAACGTCTTCGGGACAGCGCTGGCTCTTCGGCTTTGACACGGAGATGAGCACCGCAACCCTAGAGTCGGATCCGACTGGCTTTCGAGCAAGGGAACCTTGACCTTGACCTTTTGCAGAAAGATTAAGGCCAAATAAGGAGGTTGCAAGGCAAGAGGCCCTCTTCGAGCAGATCCAAGCGCCGTTTTCTGAAGGAGGCCGCTCTGAAATCCCTCCGGGCCCCGACTGAGGATGGAACCTTGGCCTGCCAGATGTTCCGTGAAACAGTTGAGGTCTGGCCTCTGCTGCCGCTTAGTGACCGTATCCATGGCAACCTATGTTGAGCCCCGACCACAAGGCCCGGCCTAGCTGAGTGGCAGCTGTGGAGGGCGGGAGGGCAGAGGCTTGAAAAGCGAAAATGTTCTGAGCCAATAACCAGGGAGCAGAGAAGAGCGAAGGAGCTGGAGACGTCGGAAAGATGGGCGCGCAGTGCTCCTGCATGGATGACTCCACCATGAAAGCCGGCAAAGGTTTGCCTCGGGCCTTGTCTGTTCGGGACCTCCCAGTCTGGTTTATGCTTCAGTTAACGGTGCTTCAGAGTAGCCGAGGCTTCTTCGGGGCAGTGTCCTTCTTCAAGAATTAGGAAGGCCGCTTAATGCTTTCCTTCCTGCTGACGTCCCTAAGAGAGGTCCAGTAAACATCCACAGGCTTCCTTTCCTCCCCCACACCTAACCTGTTTTTCTTTTTTTCCCCCTTCTCTTGCAGAAAAACTGAAGAACCACAAAATCATCTTTGTCGTAGGTAAGCAGAAGTTTGGTTTTCGGCCGCAGACTCCCTTGTTTGCTTGCACAAAGAGTACTTTTATAACACTTTGGATGACTTTTTGAAGAAAAATACTCTATTTCGGGGGGGGCCTTGTTTGCTTGCACAAGAGTACTTTTATAACACTTTGGATGACTTTTTGAAGAAAAATACTCTATTTCGGGGGGCCCCAAAAAAGAGTCTAATGGGGATGAGAATGGATCGTGGATAGAACGTGAGTCCTGCTGGATCGGACAAGTGCTGCCAACCTCTAAGAAGGGTCAATCAACAAATATATACACTGCAAAACCCAGTCAATTTACATCCTTTTTGCACAATCAACCCCAAACGGGAGTTTCTGTTCATAATTGATGTTTGTTGCTGGTCCATTAAGCAGCTGACATTCATAGACGGAGCGCTCCTGTCAGCCTTGAGAAAGACGTCCATGAATGTCAGCTGCTTAATGGGCCTTTTGTAGGACCAGCAACGAACATCAATTTAAACTTCAATGTAACCACAAAAGGAAACTTCCCCCTTTAGAAGACTTTCAAGCAAGGAGAAGCAGGGGTACAATTCTAGAAACTCCCGTTGGGGTTGATTGTGTAAAAAGGATGTAAATTGACTGGTAGCTATTAGATTGTACAAACTGATTATTATTGTTGATATTGCATGTAATGAATATATTTATTATTTTTTTGTCAATTTTTTTTTTATTTAGGATATAAACATTCATAATCAACATTAAATTTTTTACATTTGTCCCTTTCATACCCTACCCACCTCCCTTTCCCCCTCCCTAATATATGGCTTCCCACAGTGCTTCGACCTCCTGCCCATCTCTTTATTAATTTTTACAACAACCATTTTCTTTTTGTAATTCACTAGGTAACTATTATTTCACTATAGTGATTATTTTTTAACTTATCCTATCTCCCAAGCATTCTATGATTAATAATTATTAACTGTTTTAGAATATTATGAATAATACACAATGCACTTTATAAGATGGAACATATAGAACACTTTAACTTACCAAAAAAAGGTTTTTGCAGCGTATATATTTGTTGATTGACTCTTCTAACACTGCAGCTCGAGTTTCTACAACCGCTAAGAAGGGCCTGGGGAGCTCTCAAAATTACAACTGATCTCCATACTCCAGAGATCAGTTGCCTTGGAGAAAATGGCTGCTTCGGAGGGTGGACTCTGTGGCATTGTATCCCACAGAAATCCCTCCTCTCCCCAAAGCCCTCCCCAGATTCTTCCCCCAAATCTCCAACCATTTCCCAGGTTGGAGTTGGCAACCCTAGATCAGACCGAGGAGCCACCTAGCCCAGCATCCTTCTGTTTCCAGTCGTAGCCAGCCAGGAATCTCTCATGCCAGGCCTTCCCCTGATGTTGGTCCCCCAACCAATGTTCCCTCTAAGCTGCGGAGTCTTGTGAGCAAAAATTCTACTTTGTGAGCTCCTGGCATTAAAACCGTGAGCAGGTGATCTGGCTGCAGCATAAAATCAGTTTGCTCTGGGGCCATCCTTCCTGAGCGAAGACAAAAATCTGTGAGCTGGAGGCTAAAAATCTGTGAGCTGGCTCACACTAACTCAGCTTAGAGGGAACACTGCCCCCAACTGCTGGTATTCAAAGGTATTCTGCCTTTGAACATGGAGGTTCCCTTTCTCTCATGTAGCATGATAAGCATTGATAAGCAATGACCTTCACGAAATTGTCCTAGCTTCTTTTTAAAAGCCATCTAAGCCACTGCTCAATGTGGTCTCTTGTGACAGCGTCTTCCGTAAGCCAGCTTTGCAAAAAGCGTCGCCTTTGGTTTGTCCTGAGTTTGTTACCGATCCATTTATATGGGTGACTGTTGAGTTCGAGTATTACAAGAGAGAAAGAAAAATGAAAATGAGAAGTTGAAAACCATGCTTCCCCCAAGCCAGTTTGGTGTAGTGGTTAAGTGCGCGGAGTGTAATCTGGGAGAACCGGATTTGATTCCCCACTCCTCCTCTTGCACCTGCTGGATGACCTTGGGCAAGCCATAGTTCTGGCATAGCTGTTCTTGAAAAAGAGCAGTTTCTGTCAGAGCTCTCTCAGCCTCACCTACCTCACAGGGTGTCTGTTGTGGGGAGGGGAAGGGAAAGGAGTTTGTAAGCCGCTCTGAGACTCCTTCGGGTAGTGAAGGGTGGGAAATAAATCCAATCGTCTCCTCCTCCTCCTCCTCCTCCTCCTCCTCTTCTATCAGTTCTGCCCTCTCTTTATTTATTTTTTTGCTGTCAAGTCACAGCTGACTTATGGAGACCCTGGAGGGTTTCCAAGGCAAGAGACATTCAGAGGTGGTTTGCCATCGCTTGCCTCCGCATCACGACCCTGGTTTCCCTTGGAGGTCTCCCATCCAAATATTGACCAGGGCCAACCTTCCTTACCTTCCAAGATGTTATGAGATCAAGCTAATTTGGGCTATCTGTATCAGGGTCTGCCCTCTTAGGAGGGGCTTTTGAGTTAAATGGCTTGCTGTTTTAATTTTTTAAAATGTATCATTAATTTTAAAATATTTAATTTTGAAATATTTTAGTTTTATCTTCTACTGGATTTAAATATCTTTGTGATCTGCCTTGAGTCTTCTTGGAGAAAGGCAGAGTAACAGCTGTAAGGGAAACAAAGTTTGAGTCCAGTGGCACCTTTAAGACCAACAAAGTTTTATTACAGGGTATAAGCTTTTGTGTGCATGCGCACTTCTTCAGATACATTGAAACAGAAGTCACCAGCCATTACATGTAGGGTGTTGCCAGGAAGGGTTAATTAGAGTCAAGATGCGTAAGTAAGTGGGCAATAAATATAGCTAAGATAGGATTAAGGCAATTGGTAAAACCTATGAATACCAGCATATTAGTATATAGCAGGAGTCATTTCCTACGGGAGCGCACAGGGGCGAAGCTCTGGCAGTAAGGAGCCCAGGGGGCGGGCACATGCAACAAGCCCCACCCCCTGCTCCCAGCAGCCCTCAGTTGGGCTACGAGGAGCAAGAAGCAGCCAGGTAAGTTGCAGAGCCGCCACCCCCCCAGGTACAAGCTCTCCCTCCTCTGTGAAGGCAGATCTGTGTGTCCCCCCCCATAGCTAGCAATCCAAAACAGTCCAGTGGCACCTTTAAGACCAAGTTTTATTCAGGTACAAGCTCTCCCTCCTCTGTGAGGGCAGATCTGTGTGTCCCCCCCCCCCAAAAAAGCTAGCAATCCAAAACAGTCCAGTGGAGCCTGAGTGGTGGGTGTTGCCTTCTGACACACTTCCGGTGATGCCAGGGGGTGTGGCATATGCAAATAAGTTATGCTAATGAGTTATGCTAATGAGCTCCTCCACCACTTTTTCTACGAAAGTACCCCTGGTATATAGCATAATAAAAGAGTTTGCAAACAGATGGGAGAACGGTATGACATTAGCCTGCTTATACCTAGAATAAAACTTTGTTGGTCTTAGAGATATCACTGGACTCAAACTTTGTTCTGCTGCTTCAAACCAACACAGCTACCCACTGGAAGCTGTGAGTGAGTAAGTTGAATAGGAGAGGCCTAGACAGGTTACACTGGAAGAAGAAGAAGAAGGAGAGAAGAGATTGGATCTATACCCCGCCCTTCACTTGGAGTCTCAGAGCGGCTTACAAACTCCTTTCCCTTCCCCTCCCCACAACAGACACCCTGTGAGGTGGGTGGGGCTGAGAGAACTCTGACACAAACTGCTCTTTTCCAAGGACAGCTGTGCCAGAGCTTGTGACTGACCCAAGGTCACATCAGCAGGTGCAAGTGGAGGAGTGGGGAATCGAACCCGGTTCTCCCAGATTAGAGTCCGCACACTTAACCACTACACCAAACACCAAACATCAGTGCCCTAGATAGAATAGCCGTGTTTCCCCCTCAAGCATCATCTTTGCTAGCTCTATGTCAAATTCCTCATTTTCATTGCAGGGGGGCCTGGCTCGGGAAAGGGGACCCAATGTGAGAGGATCGTGCAGAAGTATGGCTACACCCACCTGTCCACTGGAGACCTCTTGAGGGCAGAGGTCGGCTCTGGCTCAGAGAGGGGGAAGAAGCTATCCGCCATCATGGAGAAGGGAGAGTTAGTTCCCTTGGTGAGTTCGGGGTGAGAATGAATGGATTCTCCTCATACGGGCAAGGCCCGAGCATTGCGGTGGGGTAAACGAGACGCTTGGGCTGCAAGCCTATTACAGTGATATGGTCTCTGTATGAGTTCAGAAAGAAAATAAACGTCTGTCTTTCTCAGGGCTTTTTTGGTAGAAAAAGCCCAGCAGGAACTCATTAGCATAATAGGCCACACCCAACAGCCAAAACTCATTAGCATATTAGGCCACACCCTGACAGCACACCTCATTAGCATATTAGGCCGCAGCCCCGTGTTGCCAGAAGTGTGGTCATCCAGCCACACCCACTTTTTGCTTCTTATTCTGTTTACCTTGTTTGTTGTCCAAACCCATGGCCCTTTTTTTGTAGCAGGGACTCCTTTGCATGTTAGGCCACACACGACTACTGTAGCCAATCCGAATGAGTTTCTGCTGTTGGGCGTGGCCGGTTATGCTAATGAGTTACTGCTGGGCGTGGCCAACTCAGGAGCCAGCCGGAACTCTGTTCCTGTGCGTTCCTGCCCCAAAATAGCCCTGGTTTTTCTTTCCCGGTTGAGCACCTGTTTCACGTGCAGAAAGCTACAGGACCCCTTCCTAAAAACATAAGATGTGCCCAGCTGGATGAGTTCAGTGGTCTATCTAGTCTGGCATCCTGTTTCACTCAGTGGCCACCCAGTTACTGTAGAGGTCCAACAACAGAGCATAGAGGCCAAGGCCTTTCCCTGATGTTGCCTCTTGGCACTGTATTAAGAGATTCGGTGTGGAAATTTCCTTTAGTTAACATGACCGGTAGCCCCACTGATGGACCTAGCCTCCATAAATCACTTTTAACGCCCTCTGCACTAGCGGTCATCATTATATCCACTGCCAGTGAATTCTACAATATAATCAGGTGTTGAGTGGGGAAGGACTTCCTTTCGCCCCTCCCAGAGGTCATTTCGGGGGGGATCGCGGGGGAACGCAGTTCCCCCGGGTGAGGTACCGGGGGGCGGGGCACATGACGAAGCCCCGCCCCCTGCTTCCGGCCGCCCCGCTTCCGGCCCTCATTCAGCCAGGAGGAGGCAGGAGAAGAGGGAGGGTAAGTTGCTTCCTCCCTGCCTCTCCCCACCCCTGCCTGCCTGGGGCCAGGGAGGGCCTTCGCGGGGCTTCCTTGCACTCCCGCCGGCCTTGCAGGTCCACCGCCGGCAGTGGAGCTGCAAGGCCGGCACCGGCGGCCGGGACCGTTGGGGGCGGGGTGTGTGGCCTTATGACACATTTCCGGTGATGTCAGGAGGTGTGGCCTTATGACACACTTCCGGTGATGTCAGGGGGTGTGGCATATGCTAATGAGTTATGCTAATGAGTTCCCCTAGCTCTTTTTCTACGAAATGACCCCTGGCCCCTCCTGAATTTATTGCCCATGGCATCAGCTTCATTGTGTTCCCCGGTTCTAGTATCGTGGGAGAGGGAGAAACAGGTCTTTCCATCCACTTTCTCCAGCCCATGCATAATTTTATAAACCTCTGTCTGTCTCCCCTCAGTCACCTTCATTCTGTTGAGGAGAGGGTGATGTGGGTTAAACGCATGTAGAAACCACTGAGACCGATGTAGTGATCAGCATGGTTTACTGGACACAACAACAAGACAAAGACTTAACGGCCGGCTGGCCAACTATATACACACTTGGGGACGCCCCCCTAGGTCCCGTTGGTGGGTTTGAATCTCCCGCCATGGTCCCATTGGTTCCTCAGTGGAGAAACTAGGAGCCTAGTCCCCATTGCTCTTGCAGAGTCAAGCTCTGGGGTATTCGCTGGCCCCTGGTGGCGGTCAGCGGACATAACAGAGGGTGTGGGTAATAAATTGAGTCTGAACTTCCTGAGACTCCAGAAGGACATTGCAGAGCTGTAAAACGTACAGAGGAGGGCAACCAAGGCTGGAGCACCTTCCCTATGAGGGGACGACTAAGGGGTGACATGACAGAGGTTTATAAAATTATGCATGGAGTGGAGAGGGCTGGCAAAAAGAATTTCTTCTCCCTCTCAAGGGCATCCATTGAAGCGAATGGGCAGTAGGTTCAGGGCAGACGAAAGGAAATACTACTTTACAGAGCGAGTGGTTAAAATGCGGAATTTGCTGCCGTAGGATGTAGTGACGGCCACAGGAATAAACAGCTTTAAAAGGAGATTAGACAGATTTATGGAGGATGTCTATCAATGGCTACTAGCCATGGTGACTGTGGGGAACCTCCACATTCAGAGGCACTAATCTGCTGAATCCCAGAGCCAGGAGGCACCATCAGGGGAAGGCCTCAGCCTCGGCGCCCTGTTATTAGCCCTTCAGAGGAACTGGTTGGCTGCTGTGTGAGACAGGATGATGGACTATATTGGTCTGATCCAGCAGGGCTCTTCTTATGTTCTTGTGACTAAATAAATAAATAAATAGACTAAATCTTTAGAATAAAGTCCATCTAGGAAACTGCAGAGTCCGTCTAGGAAAAGTTGCTCCATCCCCTTCATCTTCTTGCTTGCCCTCAGCTGAACTTTGTCCTGTTCTGCAGTATCTTTTATGAGATGCAGTGACCAGAATTGCACACAGTATTCCAAATGAGTCCTCTTCATAGACCTATATGGGGGCATTACAAGATTGATGGTTTTATTTTCACTTCCATTCCCAATAATTCCCAGCATGCAGATGGCCTTTTTCATCCTTGTTGCAAACCAGGTCTGCATTTTCATCAAGCTGTCCACTACAACCCCCAAATCTCTTT